AGCGTTGGAGAGACAGGGAAGGGGATAGTGAGGGACAAAGTGTTTGTTAATTAAATTCAATGTTAGACTTAATGTGGAGCTCAGACACACCGGCGTTAGACAATGAGAGGAGGGGGTCGTCGAGAGGAATCGGTTCCACTTCCATGACGTCGAGTCCGGCTCCTCTAATGTCGCCTGAGTTTAATGCATTGTAAAGCGCTTTCTGGTCGACGACTGCCCCGCGACTCGTGTTAATCAGGATCGCACTCGTCTTCATGCGTTTGAATGCCTTTTCATCAAACATGTGACGAGTTTTGTCGTTCAATAGACAGCTTATGATCACGAAATCACTCTTTTCTAACAGCGCGTCAAACGATACAAATTGTGCGTCCAATGCGTCCGCCGAGGACTTCGCGCTGTTTCCGCAATACAGATACTCTTTGGCACCAAAACTCTTCAGCCGCTGGCAGACAGCCATTCCTATCCGTCCCATACCAACGAATCCCAGAACACTGTCTTTGATAGACGAGCCACACATCCATAGGTGGTTCCAACCCGTCATCCATTCGCCACTAAAACCCATCAAATAAATCAAACCCTCTTTACTGTTCAGACAAACACTCAAACGCTATGCAAACACAACACAAGACAACTGCAAAACACACGCAAAAACTTTCTATACTTTCGGAGCGCTTTTTCCGCTTCAAAAAGTCGTCGACTAGTGGCCAACAGTAAAGCGATGGTGAGCTCGGCGACCGCATCTGTCAACACGTCGGGTGTATTTCCCACTTTTATGCCTCTCGCACGACACTCATTGACGTCTATGTGATCGAAACCGGCGGATATGGTTGCGATCACTCGCAGCGAGTCGGTCGCCGCATCCAATACATGGGCGTCGATGCGATCGGATAGAGTGCACAGCAACGCGTGTTTGCCTTTAATCCGCGCCACCAACTCATCCCTCGGCATAATCACCGGCTTTTGCCAGACGTCGAGCGCACAGTGCGGTCGGAGGGTCTCATAGAGTGGTTGTGGGAGATCGGGTCGAGTCACTAAACACGAGTACATTCTGGTGGACGCACTCCTCGCTGCCCCCAATACGACGATAATATTTCTTACGATTGATGTCCTCTTCAATACATTT